TATCTTTTATCATATTTTATTATCATATTATTAAATAAAAATAAAATATAAAATGAAATAATGAATAAAATATAAAATAAAATGAAATAATTAATAATTATAATTTATTAAAAATAAAAATAAATAACATTTTATTTTATTTCTTATTATTTAATGTTTTTTATAATAAACATCAATTAATAAAAATAGAATGATGATAAAGAATAAAAAAGAAGAAATTAAAATATAAAAATAAAAGAACTAATAAATTAAGAACTAATAAACAATAAATCAATAATGAAATTAGGATATAATGAAATAATGATAGTATCAATGTATTTTAATGATATTAATGATTTTATTAATTTAGAAATAGGAATTAAAAGATTTCAAGGAAATATGGAACGATTTCATTTTAATCCAATTCCATTAAATCAATATTCAAGAAAATTATTTACTAATATTGAAACATTTCATATTTATAATGAAAAAGATAAAATATTTAATGATGGAAAAATATTTAAAAAAGTAACATGGTATGAAGTAGATTATTCAACATATTTACAAGAGAAAGAAGCAGGAAATATATGTAAAAATATAGAAATACAAAATATGATAGAAAATCATATGGAAATACAATACCACCAGAAGTTAAATCACTTGGATATAAATGTTTTAAATATTGTTCAACAATAACAACAATTAATATACCATCATCAATAAGTAAAATAGGAGATGATTGTTTTAGTTATTGTTCATCATTACAATCAATTAATATTCCATCATCAATTAGTAAATTAGGAGATGGTTGTTTTTATAAATGTATATCATTAACATCTATGAATATTCCATCATCAATTATTAAAATAGGAGATGAATGTTTTTATGAATGTTCGTCATTAATATCAATTAATATACCAACAAGTGTTAGTGAATTAGGAGATGATTGTTTTAGTTATTGTTCATCATTAAAATCAATTAATATTCCATCATCAATTACTAAATTAGGAAAATGTTGTTTTTATGGATGTTCATCATTAACATCAATTAATATACCATCATCAATTAGTGAATTAGGAGATAGATGTTTTGAAGAATGTTCATCATTAACATCAATTAATATACCATCACCAGTTATATCAATAGGACATTGGTGTTTTAGAGAATGTTCATCATTAACATCTATGAATATAGATAATTTACAATTTATTAGTGAAGATAGAATATTTATGAATGAACCAGTACTAGTTAGTGTTCAAATACCAGAAAATCTACAAATAATCAATGGAAAGAATATTGAAAAGAAAGACATTAATAAATTTATTATTCCATCTTCAATTACTAAATTAGGAGATGATTGTTTTGATGATTGTTATTCATTAACATCAATTAATATTCCATCATCAATTAATGAATTAGGAGATTGTTGTTTTAGTTATTGTTCATCATTACAATCAATTAATATACCATCATCAATTAGTAAATTAGGAGATGAATGTTTTTGTGGATGTGGATCATTAACATCAATTAATATACCATCATCAATTACATCATTTGGAGATGGATGTTTTTATGGATGTGGATGTGAAGATGAATTAATGAAAAATAAAAGAATACCAAGAAAATGTTTTAAATGGTGGTGAATGAAATAAAAATACAATAAATGAAATACAATATAATTTGAAGTAGAAATAAATTATAATTGATTATCATTTATATTATTATTATTCTTTTCTTATTTATTCATTTTGATATTATTCTTTTTTGTTGTGTTAAAATATTTATTATTATTTATTGTATATGTTTATTAATTCTTATATCTTCTATTTTATCATATTTATTTATTATCTTTTATATCTTTATTATTATTTTATTATTATTTTATTATTGTTTATTATTCTTATATTCTATATTTTAACTTATGATTTTCTATTATTAAATATAAATTAAATGAATTTGATATTATAGATAAATAAATATCAATTTTATTAATCTCTTTGTATTTATATAATATAAATATCAATAAAATTAAATTATAAGTTAAATTAAATGAAATATGAATATGAATAATATTAATATGAAATGAAATAATTAAATAATAAGAATATATTTAAAATATAAATACCAAATACATGAATAAAATAAATAATATAAATAATAAAATATAAATCAAAATAAATAAATAAAATAATGAATAATAATCAAATATCAAAACATGAATGTGTATTTAAACAAATATATAAACATATATTAAATACATATTTTAATAAATTAAGAAA